GGGACCGGGCCGATTTTGCGAGTGCGACCGCCGCACCTCGGATCCGTGAATTTTTATTGATAACTTTTTAAAGCACCAGTGGTACAAAAACATCTCAGTAACAGTCAATGCGTAGAAGGTAATAGAGTATATAGTGACGAAGTTCCGATTAAAGAACATGTAATGGTAATGAAAAAGGAAATTTTAGTCATTTTATCTGTAGTGGATGCCAAAAGCTCTTTTGATGTGGTTATACCAAGTGAAACATGTATTTTTCTGTCTCTTTAGATTTGCATTTACTTTCACTACCCTTTTTTATTGACGTGTTCATGAGAATAGCATGAAAACTATTAATGAACCAAGCCGCCGGTTTCGGTGAGCTTGGAAAACTTCTTCTAAACTGGAGCATATTTGAACAAACAATGACCTATGTCGTTCACAATAATGTTATGTTCTAATCCATAGAAGAGAGACAAACAATTCGGGAAAAAGCTGCGCATGCCCTAGAAAAAGGGATGATAAGGGTGAGACGCGGTAACGCGTCTCAATGTCCAACGAGGTGCGCAAAGTGAGACGCGTTACCGCGTCTCAATGTCGTCAATGTGTTAAAATCGCTCCCTATGCTTGTTGCGTAGGACGATAGTAGACTGTGACGAATGACACTGCTACCAGATCAGATCCTGGTTTGAGGCTCGCCTAGATCGCCCAAAATATCCATCCCGCCGGGATCAGTTAGTTACCACAAGACTTAAGGAACACCTCACCCAAGCAGGGAAGAGTTTTCAACAGACACACAGAACATAATATTTTTTGTACACCGATTCTGTTGCTGAGGGAGACATTTGCTGCACGAAATCGACGACAGGCACTAGCGGGGAGACGTGCGTTTCTCCTCCTGGGGTCAGGTCACCACAGTTGCGCGATCACTGAAGCTTCAAGGTTAAGTTTGGGTTTGGACTTAGGTCAAGGATTTATGCTTACACATTGGCTTTTAATCAACTTGAAAGGTTTAGTTTAAGCCGAGATACATGCATTTAAAATTCGGGGTCGGAAAACGACAGAACTTTCTGAAACGCCTAATATTTACATTTGAAAGCAATTTTTGTTCATAAGAATCAACCCATGCACGAGTCAAATCAGTCAATTACAGAAGATTTGCTGACACATGAAATAAAAGTTGAGAACCTGTGCGATTTACAACAGGAAGTCTTTTTGCCATCCTATTACGACAGTATATGGTACGGAGTCGTAGACATGGAAAGACTCGCTAAACACCTGCACGATTTATACAGCAAAGGAGAATATTGCCAAGATTCTTATGAGGTACGTTGGATTTTTAAGTACAAAAACTCGTCCAGCACTTGAAAGACGAAGGATTCAGGAATTTGTGACATCTGAAGCAGCCACAACTGCCCGCCGGTTTTGCTACGATGGCCTTCGAAATCTACCTATGACCACCTTCGACGAATTGGTCTATGCCAGAACGCTGGATCACTATGCCGGTCGAATTCGTGTAAGAATTTTGATGATTTTAAACTCCAACTCCAGTTTTGGGGGGTGGGGTACTCCCAGTTGTCTTATCCATCCTGGGTTCCTAAGTCTTTGCGCTTAGGGAAGGACGTCATACCCAGTTAAAGGAATCTTCCACGGACCATGGACCAGTGGGCGGGACCGGAAGTGGTTTTGCGACGAAATGCATGGTAGGTACGGATCCACGTTCATGGGAAGGTTTGAAGTGAATCCTGTTCACGTTCGTGCGTTCGACACGTGGATCCGTACCTACCATGCATTTCGTCACAAAAACTTCCGGTCCCGCCCACTGGTCCATGGTCCGTGGAAGATTCCTTTAAGGCATTTCCCCGGACCACAAAGGCGCGAGAAAGCACCATAGGAGTACTTCCACACGTCCGTCCCATCCTTATCAGAAGTAATTTTAAATTAATCGATTACGAGTCATCAAAATTGTATCATTATCCTAGTATTGGGAGTGCCCCGCCCCTGACTGGAGTTTTACCGATTTTAACATTACTAAAATCATATGTTATCACCTTATCAGGCTGACATCTTATCCGCGCAGATAAGGAAAATTAGCTGTAACGGTGAAGTACCTGAATGGAATCGACCGCCTCACATAAAACCGTACATCTCCATAAGGAACTGCACTCAGCATTGGATGCTCGAAAAGGACCCCCCATTCGTTAAGGTAGGACAGCAATTAATCAGAGGCACAATTAGATGACCAGATCTATCCATTCCGCCATTAAATTTGTTAGGTCCGCATTCTCAGAAATAGGAACATTTTCGCGACTGAAAAAGGCTCGAACAGCCTACAACTGTTCCCGATGGAACCTCAGGAGGAACCTAAACACGCGCACTCTGGTGGCGTCTGTTGCTGTCTCGCTCCCTGTTCGTGCTCGCTCGTCTGGCGTGTGGTTGTTCGTCCGCGCCTCGTGCGCCCAAATTTCTATCTCTGAAGTTTGTCTTTTCAGACTCTCCTAGCCACCCAAGAAATTTGGAGGGACTTTCGCCTAAGAATTTTCTAGTTTTATTCCTTTATGCTCCACTGAAAAGGACGGATTAAACACTTTTTTTATTTAATAGTTGTTCATTTAACTAATCATGGAAATGTAGCGTACATGCAAGAGGGGCATGTTCACGAGAATTGCTGTTGCTAGGTGGATTACTGAGTTGTTTTTGCACTGGATGTGAGATAGAACGTGGAATAATTGGTACCAGAAGATGATCAGATTATCTACAGCGAAAAATGGTGGTGGGCGGCCATTGGTTAGTCGTCTCTCATTGAGTGAAAGTCTTTGTGTTTGGAAATTGCCATTTCTCACTTGTTACAATCGTAGCACAAGCGCCAATATATTTATTGGTGAGAGATGTGTAAAACTCGCTTTTCAAAATACCAAGAAGAGCGGTCGGTGCAGACATACACCACAAGTGACGAACGGGCTCCACAAAATGTGAATTATTATTTATTTAACCGAGTTGATGATTAGGTACTTTTTGCAGTTTGTTATTCTTAATTTTTGTCACTAATTAATACTATCATTTACCGCGAAAAATCAGCTACCATGAACCACTACTAACCGGGTTTACTTGGAGACCGCCGTCACTTGTGTCGTCACTTGTGGTGTCTGGTCTGCACCCGACGCTTTTCTCGTTTTCCTAAAGGGAGTGTACTTTATTCAATCATCCACACAACCATCCACGTTTTATTCTCCCATTAGTTGTGCGCTAGGCGGGCTCGGCCTCTTTTCACTCCTTTTTGGCTTCTCTACCTGTCAAGACTTCATGGGCTAGTTCACCTCCAAAAAGGTCATCTTTCACAGGGGGTCAGTTTACTTACTTAAAGCAACAGTCCCAGCAGGGTTTTTACCTTCGACACTAATGGTGTGGAACGATGCGCTAGCCCTAGTCAAGAACATAAGAAGTGTGACTGAACAAAAAACTCACCTTGGAAAGCCGCTAGAAAGGGAGCTGAACGGCTTCGAAGTGGGCGTGGTTGTGCAGTCCCCTCGGCCGATTCCAACCACGCCCACTTCGAAGCCGTTCAGCTCCCTTTCTAGCGGCTTTCCAAGGTGAGTTTTTTGTTCAGTCACACTTCTTATGTTCTTGACTAGGGCTAGCGCATCGTTCCACACCATTAGTGTCGAAGGTAAAAACCCTGCTGGGACTGTTGCTTCAAAGGGCCACTGAGGGCGAAGTTGAGCATATGACCCAGGAGGTTTATATGCTCATTCAGTCTCACTGGACCTCTTGTGACAGTATGGCCAAGAACTAGCCAAGAAATGCTGCGTTCCGCCACAACTAGAAACTTCTGGCCGACACTCCTTCACACCCTTTGGCGCTGCTGTGTAACGCCAAGGTATTGCAGGCAACGTGGCCTCCACAAGAAATTCAGAAGTTTTCGATGCGCTTTAACAGGAGATTTGATCCTGATGAAGATTTGATAAGTCTGCCCCAGAAGATTGCAGAGACACTTGTAGGTATGTGACAGAACATGGAACAAGGAGGTCATCCATTTGTAATGTTTCATTTTAGGATTTGGTGAAGATCTTCTCGGATTAGGAAACAAAGAACTAACGGCTGCCCCAGGAGTTGACGCTTCTGTATTGAGTTCCAGGTGATATCCATCAACGTCTCGACCTTTTTCCTTCACCATTCCTTCCCATTTTCAGCTTTTACATGCAACTCGGACAATCAGAGGAGGAGCGCAGTAAGGAATACGAGAGGCTTTGCGAGGAGCGGAAAAAATGGCGTTTCGATCTATTCAGAGCTCTTCAAAGGGCCTTGTATGTTATTAGAATCCTGTTCCATTGCCATCACCAATGATGGCTCATAATCAAGCTATTCCAGACGCGATCTCCGGCTCTACGTTTGCGTCATTAATGCGGATGGGTCGGTCACATGGATACCGGGCAATGTAAGCAAATCCTTCTGATCTAACCTATTAAGGCAGCAGTCCCAGCAGATCTATACTTTCGATACTACCGGTGTGAAAAAGATGCGTAAGCCCTAGTCAAGAACATAAGAAGTGTCACTGAACAAAAAACTCACCTGGGAAAGTCGCTAGAAGGGACTTGAACATGTGCAAGGCCTTTTTCCGCCTACTCCTTTCTCCTCCCATTTGCTAGCCGTCGAATAGCGCGTTTTGCTGCATAGACATGTGCGATCGTTTCGGGACTACAGAGGCTATTTGAACTCGGTCCTTTGAAGCGAGTCCCAGCAGAGTTTTTACCTTCGACACTAATGCTGTGGCGAGCTGAACGACTTCGAAGTGGGCGTGGTTGGAATCGGCCGAGGGGCTGCACAACCACGCCCACTTCGAAGCGTTCAGCTCCCTTTCTAGCGGCTTTCCAAGGTGAGTTTTTTGTTCAGTCACACTTCTTATGTTCTTGACTAGGGCTAGCGCATCGTTCCACACCATTAGTGTCGAAGGTAAAAACCCTGCTGGGACTGTTGCTTTAAAGGCAAGAATCAGGATTAATTGATGGGGTTGATTCCACTCAAATGTGAAAGTAGGGATGGGAGGTGGACCGCCAGTGGAGAAAAAAGGAAAGAAAATCCTGAAATACACAGGAAATACGAGCATTTTGCTCCATGCTGTGGAGAAGTTCAAAAGACAGGCAGGGAGATGAGAGATAATGTGAGCGCGGAGAGTGGTAGAGAAGTCCGAGAAGAGAGAGCATAGCAGATCAACGCAGCGACGCAGACAAGATATCGAACGGTGGGCGGACCATGTTAAGTTTGGTGGAGTCTGTTAGAAGTCCATGGCGCCTAGGGTCCTAGTGACGCGTTTCGATGTAGAAAGGTGGCGCTACCTTTGCACTTGCGTACCCAGCACTTCTAGCCATGGTAAGGGCTTCTTAGGTGGGTCTGAGCCCGAACTTTGCCTTCAAACCGTTAAATTTGATGCTTCCGCCAATGGAAGTCAGTTGCAAGTCTTCAGTAATAATGGTTCTTGACAAGCAAGTTCGCGCAACTCGTTCGGCCCACCCCTTCCTTATTTCCAGGGGTAACAGAGGGAGTACTCGTTAGAGGGTTTCATCGGCGGTTTTCCTAGCTTCTCGACATCCACAATTTTATTATCGACCGCTTTTACCCCGCGAATTTGATCTGGAATTGTTGCTTAAAATATCCCTTTTTGCAGAGGAAATCGAAACCTACTACTGATGGCAACACTGACAGCGCTAAGCGTCGAGCTGTCGACAACAATACAGAGGACTCCATCGAACTCATGTAACTACATATCATGCCTTCAGTTCGCTGTTAGCAAAACGAAGTTCATAAACCAGCTTGGTTGGTTAATGAAGGAGATTACACTTAATGGATTGTATTAGTTAGGACTAGTATGACACAGTGTACTGGAGAAAAATCATTTGACCTCAATGAGTCTTGTTCGGAGTGCGCCACGCATTGGACTTGCATTTGAAATCATTGCAATTTTTGAATACACATTTTACTTACACGAGACTTCCGATGACACAATCAATCGTCGCATTTGGCTGACCCGGAACCAGTCAACCTTTCTCCCTTCACACCTATCTCGGAGACTTATTCTTAGTAGTGCTTTGAAGCTGGAGCTGCTTCGCACTTCATTCTGAGAGAAGTGTTATAACAAGGAGAGTGGGAGAGGTGAAGTGTAAGGGAATCCCCCAAACATATTAGAGGTGGAAAGAAAGTTCTGCAACACTCTTTCTAAAATTTTCTTTTTTTCTGAAAAATTCATAGGTAACATTTATGACTACCAAATGGTAGAGCATTCTCAAGGCTTCAATCCACGAGGTGGATATAAGTGCTGCAGTCAGTAGTTATCCAAGAAAATTCAAAAAATCTCGACCACTAGTAAATCCGTACTCCGAGTCACTGTCTAGTACAAATGTCTCCATAAATGGATTCGTGTCAAAGACCAACACTATCTGCAATAGCTTCAATAGGCATGTCGTTCACCGCTACAGCGTGTTTCACCTTTACCAGCGCTTTCGATCTTTTGATATTTTTATAAGAAGCCAGCAGCGTCCTCAGCGTCCTACACACTGGGTAGGGCTCTTACGGAAGCTCCACTACAAATTCTTCGTTATGGGCACCATTGTGTAGCTAGAGGTCTAGGCTGCGGAACTCCAGAAGCTGGCCGAGGCAGCTCGTCAGGAGCCCTCGTACCGCGACAATATTTCTTTCATGACATTGCGAATCACCATGATCCGAAATGAGCCCGGTAAGAAATTCTGGAGCTGCGGCAAGATTTCTTACCTCTCTTAGCGTATTCCCCTGGTCGAGCTAAATGACTGCCACCTATCCTGGACCTTAAATCATCATCTTGATGACGAAATAATTAGACGATCAACTCCAACTCGAAAGTGAGGTCGCCTCCTTTCTCGACCGCACTCCGCTGGGTTTTGGCAAAGGAGCATCAAGAAATTTTCTGAGCGTTGAAGACAAGTGGTGGACACTCATGGTAGATATATGACCGGTCAGGAGTTGTAAACAAAAAAGATAAAATTAAAATCAAAAATTGAAAAAGTGTTGCAGGACTTTCTTTCCAACCTAATAAATTTTCACCAAATGCAAAATATTTGAGCTGGGCACTACCTCAGAGATCTTCTTACTTAGGAGAGGAAACGATGTGTGCCAATGAATGTTATTTTCCCCTGATTCCCACCTCGTGGATTTAGCCTGAGCTACTTATTGGGTAAATATAAGAATTCCCGAACGCTTATATTATCCAGTATAAAGAAAGGTATAACATAATACCGACAAAAGTTAAAAAAAAACCAATGAAGTTGCGTAGGAAGAAGGTGATGGCAATTAGTTTAATAGGACCTTGAGCAACTTGTACAAATTCAAACGCGTCTGGCGCTCTGCACTGCGATGCCCCTTCTTTGGTATATAAAACCGAGCAGACTAAAAAATCTGTTATACCTGAGAGTGAGCCATCTTCGCAGAACTCATCCTTTATTGCGAAGAAACCAGCAAGCACTCGGCTGACACCTTCGAAACAAGCTTGCTCCTGAAAAAAAATCAGTCAATTGGTCTGAAGAACTACCTGAGCCAAATGGAAAACTACTGAACCTCGTCCCAATTGACATCCTTCACAAGTCCCGCGACCATTGCCGGCAGACCTTCCAATTGTGGAGTATAGCCATTAACGAGAGAAGGAATCGACACCAGACATAGCCTGCTTATATCATCGTCATCCTTAGGGCGTCTTATTTCAAGCGAGAAGTAATCTTGAAGCATCGGAGCTTGACATTCCAGCAATTCCAAAGCCTCCACTACAATAAGAAGAATGAGACAACTCTGGATCTCGAAATTCTTTGAATTCTAACGTATGCCTATTTCATGGCACTGTAGTAATCTAAGTTACTCTGATCATTAGTAGCCTGTAAATGTCTTCAGACCTTCCATAATCCTAACTAGTACCTATAGAGGG